CCAATGCCACGGAGCCCATGTCGACATGTTGGGCCGAGGAGGCAGAGATGGTGTCGTAGACCACGAAAGCAGGGAGTGCGGTAGAAGCGAGAGTTTCCAGTGTCATGGCTAGTTGAAGAGATTAAGCGTGTGAATAAAGGATGCAATCATTAATTTGAGGGTGGGGATGAAAATTCTGAGGAGGGGGGGTTTTTGGGAGGCTAAGATCACACGTGAGGAATCAAGGGAAAGGGGAGGAGCTTTTTCTGCTTCAAAAAAGTGAGGGCAATTGAAAGGAAGGAGACTCTCTCTCTCTCTCTCTCTCTCTCTGTCACTGTGTTATAAGTTGCTCCCTTGTGAATTGGTTTCTCAAATACATCGATGCTGTCAAAAAAGTCTGCAGCCCACGTCTTCAGTGTGGTTTTTGCATGGGGTCCACGGTGGATATGTCTATTTCTACAAAATTAAAGAGAGATTAGTTCATTGATTTAATTAGGGTGGTTAGGCATATTGTTTCCAAAAGAAATGTGATTTGAAATAGTTTTGCGGTAATGTCTGTGTTTTGTCGAAATCTAACTCGAGCAAGCATAAGCATCCATCAAAATAAATAAGCCGTTTTGTGTTATCTCCTATTAAAGGAGTACGAATCCTACCAAAACATCCCATAGGATGTATGATGTTTGAGCCAAGCATCAGAGTGAGAAAGGGGGCGATTTGGACTCTTCACAGTCCCTTTTTGGCTCAAAGAGTCATGCGCGCGCGGTGCGGATGTTCTAATAAGATTATTATGCTTCAAAGAGCACAGTTGCAATAGACAACGCTAGTTAGGTTGTAAAAAGGAAAAAATGAATGGGCGTTAGCTAATTAATCACATATTAAACTGATGTATTTTAGATATGGAGACGGATTTAATAGGCTTATATCATGTATCAACATTTAAAGTTCTTATTTCAAATTATCTATATGTTGAGGGACTAGTAACTTACAAACTCGTGGTTATTATTCTTTTTGAGAAACTATTTCCGGTCTACTTTGGATTGGCCCAATACTCACAATGAACAAGGCTAATCTACTTGAATCTAATTGATTCAAGGAATCAATCGTATTGGAGTTATGAGTCAAGCATATTTAACAATATGCTAATATTTTAATCTCTTTTAAATGTGTGACTAAATTTAGTTCATGCCTAATAAGATATAAAGAAGAATACTATATAAGAAGGAAATTTATATAACAATACGAATTCCAACTAAGAAAATAGTATCTTTAACTACTTATCCTTAACCTGAAGAGCGAGCAGAGATTAGTGAAGCTTAGCTTGTCCCAATCGGAGAGAGTTAAATAATTTGCACCTTGTGGTAGCCCAGTCAAGTCAACGTAAACGTAGGATCGACATGAAAGCGATCATATCGATCGACAATCAATGACAAGTTAATAGAGGTGAAAATAATGCCCAGAACAATTAAGCAGCTTCGCAAATGACATCAAGATAAAAGATACTCGCAAAGTCACAATCAACAAAAAGAAAAAGAAGGTTCATGAGCGATAGCCGATAGACGTCGACATAAAAAGAGTGCGCCATAATATGATAAGGAAGTTGATACTATTCAAGAGTAAATTAAGGTCCGAGAACTCTGAGCGTGCACACAAATGCCAAAGATTTGAGATGTCGAAGCCCAGAACAACGGTGATGAACAAGAGATCAGGCCAGTTGATAACATAAATATTAGCAAGACTATAATGAAATTGATGATGGTGGAGAGCTAGCGGGGGTTGCCAAATGTAAAAGTTGGCACTGAAAGTAAGGTCAAGGTAGCTAAGATCGATGATATATGTTGGAGCCGTCGAGGAGAAACATAGAGTTGATGATGCAGAAAGCCTTCTTAGCAACCTCGCGATTAAGACAAATTAAAGATCTGTAGGATTTAAAACTTAATTTCTCCAATGCCATTTTGAAATAAACATAGAGATAATAAAAAATTCTTCTATTTATGTTGCGCGCAGCGGAAATTTTGGCAGCACTTCGGCAGCACAACAAGAGAGTCAGACCGCAATAAGAATTCTTATTTCTCAAAGGGAACAAGAATCTGAAGCCTAATATCTCATCAAAGTGAGATATTAGCTCTTCCTCTCGTCAGCTCTAGGACTACGCATCGAGGGAACCTAAAAGCTATTACAAATCACACAAAAGCAGTACAATCAATTTTACGTGGTTCGGCAAATTGCCTACGTCCACGGGGCAAGGAGGGTGGGAGATCTACTAATAGAGGGAGAGATTACAACTAGGGTTTACAATCACTCACAAACTAAACCCTCAAACAAACTATCAAATCCCTCACACTATCTCTCTACAAAAGGTTGCACAAAAGGACTGACAAATCTCACCTCCTTCAACTCACGGACTACTCCATCGTGCATCCTAATCCGCACGGTACCTATCCCACAAACGCCACAGGATTGATCATTTCCCATGACAACAACGCCCCCGTCGACTTTCTCAAAAGATGCAAACCAGTCTCGCCTAGGGGTCACATGAAAAGTAGCGCCGGAATCAAGCATCCAATCTGATGCATCCACATGGTTCACCTCCGGAGTAATCAGTAGAGAAAAGCACGAATCATCGGAATCATCGCCTTTCGCAATATTCACCTCATTGGCCTTCGGGCCCTTTTTCTTGCCATTCTCTTTCTCCTTGAGCTTCGGGCAGTCTCTCTTCCAATGTCCCTGCTCCTTACAGAATGCACATTGGTTCTTTGCTAATTGGTGGCGGCTTCTTGACTTTGACCTTCCTCTATTACCACCTTTCGGATATGGGCTTCTACCTCTCGTCGACAAGGCCTCTCCTGAAGTACTAGCGCGGGAAGTCTCCTTATCCTTCCTCCTCAAATCGTAGTTCGTCAAAGCGTTAGTCACTTCACTATAGTTGATAGAAGATCTCCCGTTCAACAAAGTGAGCATGAAGGTATCATACTCCTCATCTGGTAAGGAGCCCAATAAAATAATCGCCTTGTACTCATCCGATATCTTCTCATCAACATTCGCCAAGTCCGACAACAACTTAGTGTAGTTGTTCACATGAGCCGCTAGCGAGGTGCCTCTGGACATCTGAAATCTGAAGAGTCTTCGCAGCAAGTGCAACCTGTTCTCAACACTCTTTGTGAGATACTTGTTGTTGAGAATTTCCCACATCTTCATTGCAGACGCCACCCCAATCACATCATATTTCAGCTCATGTTCCAAACAGGACCTGATCACCCCACAAGCATTCCTATTCATTTTCTCCCATACCGCCTCATCATATTTAGGTGGCCTCTCGTGGACCATGATGGTCTCTTCCAAATTCTGAGCATTGAGGGCATCTTGTACGTCGCTCATCCACAAACCAAAGTTGATTTTGCCGTCATATTTCACCACACTAATCTTAGTGTTATGAAAACCAACTTGTACTGTACTCGCCATCGATTTGCTGCTTTCACCTTCTTCTCCCATTGCGAACTAACTCCAAATTGCAAAGAAAGATTCAAACTTTGAAAGGAATAAGAAATTACCCAACTGAACCCAAGATTAGATTCCAAATAGAACTCCTAACCACACGAGGAAAGCAAGATCTCCAACGGCAACTTCAAATCCTATCTCCACCGAAGCCTAGAACTCCAAGAACCAAGCTTCCAACTGAATCTTCCTCCACCAAAACACTCTAGATCTGAAATCTGGGCTCTGATACCACTTGTTGCGCGCAGCGAAAATTTCGGCAGCACTTCGGCAACACAACAAGAGAGTCAGATCGAAACAAGAATTCTTATTGCGACCTGACTCTCTTGTTGTGCTGCTGAAGTGCTGCCGAAATTTCCGCTGCGCGCAACAATTTACTCATTAATTGATTCGAAGAAGAGGGTATGCATCGTGTAGAATCTCTATGAAAATAATATTCTAATAAGAAAGGAAAACCTGTAATAAAGAAAAATTCAAAATAAAAAGGAATCTATAATAAAGAAGAACCCTAGCTAAGAAAATAACACCTTCTAGTATCTCTAACTAAACTTACATTCAATTATATGGATACGAGACATTCTTTATAAATCTTCACCTTCACTCACATACAGCTTGTTGGGGTTCCGAGGGCTAACACAAACGCTAAGAGAGAAGGCTTAACACAAACAAAATAACGGCACGAACACAAACAAACGAATTTTACGTGGTGCGGTAAGTTGCCTACGTCCACGGGGATAAGTTTTCACTAATAGAGAAGGAGAGTACAAATAAAGATTACAAATTCACTCAAAATCTCTCAAACAAACCTCTCAAAACTCTCAAACAAAACCCTAACCAAATTGCTCAGAAAACTTTCTTTTCTGTGTACAAAACAAACCCCTTTTCAACTCTTTTTTTCTAAACCGTTCCATATATATAGAAATCCTAAAACCAAAAACATACTAGGAATTCTAAAATAAAAAACAAAACATATTAGGAATCCTAATAACCTGTTACCAAAAGAGATTTGGAATCCTGCTATCGAAACAGATTAGGAATCCCAATAATTTATTACCAAAACAAATTAGAAAATATATTAGGAACCTGCTATCCAACAATTATCCATCTCGGCAAAATTTTTCCAAAACTGAGCCGACATCAATATCAACCAAACATCTCACTTGTTGCGTCCAGTACGAAGTGGAACAAATCCACGATAATGAACTCAATCCACAACAAGTCGAGAACCCAAACGAGAATGTGAACAAACTCTAAATATCGGTATCAACTCACCAAACCGGTTGCATCAAAATGACTACCTACGTATCCTCTTGCCCAAGAAATCAAGCCTCACGTAGTTCACCAAATGACCTCCAAAGGCCCTCAATCAACTAGAAGGATTCCCAATCATTCACGATCATCACCATCAAATCTGCAGCTGATAACTCTCCCACGGGCCTCAAAGTGAAATAAACCAAACACCTCCACCTAACCTAAGGTGAACCAACGGCCATAGCCAAATCCGAACTGTGTT